CGCGAAGTCTACAGCGCCATCCAAACAAGATGGCAGCCAACTTTTATCGACAAATTCGTCGTACATTTCGCGTTCAAAAAAACAAGTTTTAAAATAATGTTAACTTTAATTGATATGCAGAAGATGTTCTTTATTGCTTTTTCTACCATATAAAGCTGTTTTTAATGTTCAAAAGCATATACAAAATTTGTTGACGCTCGTTGACGACCGTTGAGGCTTGTTGACGCTTGTTGACGCTTGTTGACGCGCTTTAGTAGGACCGCACATTGCCGTCTAAAGCAGGAGAGATTTTTGGCCGGTGAAAAATAACGATGATTTAGAGGATTTTTTCATGGTAAGAATTTGAATTATGTATTGTATCAGTATTTTGTTGTTTATCTTAAATGTTAGATTGGATATATCTTTCGAAAATGCGAAAAAAAATGGTTAAAACTTGTAAGATTTTGGTACTGAGTAGGCCTAGTCCAGTTTCCGGACACAAACATTTTAGTTGACGATCGTGTAGTGTAAGCAAAGGCCCTAGGGCCCCTGTTTCGAGTCATGGGTGTGCTTTTATCAAAAATGACCTTTTCAACCTAAAGAAGATTTCTCTCAATATAATGATACCTTTTTTTTTGCAATTTTTAATACCTTGTGGTAGAAAGTTCTATTTTCCGATTTTACTACGCGATCTTAAGTTATACAGTATGCATGGTGCCGTGCGATTCAACAGTTCATTGCGCAGTGATCGCCATCTTTATTTCCTTTTTGTGTTTTGTCCTTGTCATTGTCATTTCAGGCCTACCCCCAAATGTCCCTCAAAAATTCAAAACCCTGCCTTTACATGTACCTTCATATGTTCTTGTCGCAAACAGTTTGGTGGGTCAAATAATTCAAAAGTGCGTTTTGTTCTCATATTCGTTCCTACCCCCGCCCTGCAAACAGAATGCTTGGACACGCTGATAAGTCATCACGGCCATGACCCTGCAAGGTTGTAAATAGCCGTTAAAAATAAGACCGAGTCATTAGTCTTTTCTTTCCATTCATTAGTGCTTTTCTTTTTTCGTTGAAGCGTAATTAATATAGGAAAATCTGTAAACCTTATCTCACCTGTTTTGTAAATTTTTAATTTCCCCGTCACTTGCTCAAGCTCCGTTTCGAATTCGCGACGGATCAAATTGCATATTATGCGACGCTCAAAATGTGGCCACCGTGGTCCGCAATGAAAAAGAAATCACATCCGGTATATGGAATGCACTGTACACTTTCTATGAGACAGTTTTCAGATACCATTTGCGCCCATTGGCTTACTGCGGTCTTTAACAGCTGCAGCCAGGTGTCTTTGTCATGATACATTACCCAGAATGCATATGCCATCCCCACTTCCTTCACAAGATAGTGTGCAGCTCATCAGCGTATTCCAGCGCCCTGTTTGCAAGGAGCGGGGTACGAGCGAACCTACTTTATAATGAACTGGGCCCGTAGATAATGGTAGATATACGATCGCCTTTCACTAGTGTAAGTTTTTCTGTTCCATCAACCCAGGCCCAGCACATGCCCATACGTTCCTCCGTTGTTGTTTCCCAAGTTAGTTGACGGCTGTTTCATGTATCAACAAAGCAGCCAAATCAATCGATCAGCTCACTTCAGTTCAGTGGGACATTTGTCTTTATTTTTCTAATTTTAGGATAAAGCATTTTTCATTTGTACTGACAAATGAACAACCTAACTTAAAATTAGCAGAAACGAACCGTGGCTATTTAGCCACGTTTACGGGTCTCATTTAATAGGGCCTAATTTTAGTTTTAACGTGTTTTATAATTCTTTATTTTGATAGCAATGACAATTTTGACAATTTCGATAGCCCTAACAGTCCTGAATCCTCCAATTTCAATATAATTTTGCACACCCCTTAGGGAGTTAGGGTTAATTGACTAGCAATAGGGCCTACATTGTTAATAACGTATCCTGCGACTTTATCTTTTGCAGATCAACTGATCATATTGATCCAATCGTGAAAGTTAACCCACAACCATTCCGCACACACCCACTTCTTGGTTGATGGACCAAAACTTGTGCAAGGAATGAATTAAACTTATCTGGTAATGAAACAAAGGATTCCACAAAAAGAGGTTTCAAGAAAAAAGTATTGAAACCATTGAATTGAGAAGTTGGGGCTACAAACTTGGCGAGTGAAATGCACTGATAAATTTACGTATGTTAGAAACCAGCTCAACTGGCGGAACATGTGAGTTCATCATTTAAATTTGAGCATTTCGTCAACCTCCAAGTCTTTTATTTCATGTAAATGAAGCAGAGGAGTAAAGAGGAAAACAAAAACGTCTGTCTTACTCCTTCTACGCCTTCTGTTGAACTGATTCAACCCTTCGGTTTTTTCACTACCCCGAAGCTGGAAAACTGTGTTGTATTAAATGTTTTCAAGACCTTCAAATACGTACACAGACAGTAGGAGGGTTAACATGCATTGTATGATTGAGGCCTAACTCATAATTTTCTTTTATAGCTATGGTACCTGTAGGTAAAAAGTAACGAAATGAAACCAAACACGACTATTCAATATCGGGTTTTGCCCTTCACCGACATATTTTTATAAACACTGTATACTCAGTGTTGTCCGGGTTGTCTGTGAGAAATAATCACTCGGGTGGACTCAAACCCAGGACCTCCTGCTTACTAGCGCAGAAGTAATACACTCCACCACCGAGTTTGGAAAAAAAAATTGTCTCTGTGAACATTATGGAAAGTCTGATCCAGTAGGCTTACATCCTTTTAGAAATCTCCTGCAAGAAGGGCCTTTTTTTGTGAAACTACTTATATTTTAATAAAAAAAACAATTCAGTTTGTTTGTTTTTATCTTGCCCTAGTGGCTCTACTGACGTTCTTGCTGATCGCTGTGCTGATCATTTCCGAGATCCGTTACTACTCAGACACTCGCATGAAGTAAGAGTACAAAGTACGTTAAGGAGAATACACGAGAAAGTGTGGATTCGTAATTTAAGAATTCACGAGGCGCGAAGCGCCGAGTGAATTCGTAAATTCAGAATCCACACTTGCGAGTGTATTCTTCGCCTTAAACCATTGCGTCAATAGAAGTATTGGCATTAACAGTGAGTGGAGATTAAAAGACTTGGGATAAATGTGGCAACCTGACGCCACTTCCGCGTTTGTGTACAAAGTATATGGACAGTCAAGATTTTTTCAAAAGTATTTCCTAACAAAATTGGAAATATTTCTCAGTCCCAGATTCATGTCTTATCATCATTTTTGCAATGAATGCCCTTCATTGAGATGATATATGGAGAGAAAAAAAGTGGCGTCAGGTTGCAACATTTGTCGCGGCTCCTTCCGTCGACAACTTGATAGTTCAGACGGTGATTTCTTTCTGACTCAATGAAGATTTTGCAGTGACGGCGGAGAATCTGACAGTGAAGATGCATTGGTAATTTCGGAAGGAAATTTTCACGCATACGGTCCTATTAATGCTCATTATAGAGAACAATTGTCTGACGTGTTCAAAGTGTGGATTCTAATTCCGAATCCACACTTCACTAAAGATTCTTCGTTCCAAATCCACACTTTGTGACCAGCATAACAGATTCGTAGTTCCGAATCCACACTTTTAACAATAGTGTGACGTCATAGCAATGGTTTAAACACGGACATACACAGCAAACTGAGCATCAATGTGGACATCACTGTGGCAATGAAGTGTGGACGTAAGTACAATCTCAAATTAAGATCTGCTATAGCTTCTAACATACGTAAATTTATCAGTGCATTTCACTCGCCACGTTTGTAGCCCCAACTTCTCAATTCAATGGTTTCAATACATTTTTCTTGAAACCTCTTGATTGATGGACCAAAACTTGTGCAAGGAATGAATTAAACATATCTGGTAATGAAACAAAGGATTCCTCAAAAGTGCCCTTGGCACTGTAGCTCGCAAGCCTGCAGAAACCTATATACAGTTTTAGAGGTGGGAGGAAAACCCCAGAAGAATAATCTGGGGGGAAACCATAGAATCATGTTGGGACTGAAAACCCAATCCACATGTGGTTCGGGCAGGAATCGAACCAGAGCCATAGCAGTGGAAGGGGAGGAAAGTAACCACTGCTCCAACCTGACTCCCCTGACAAGATGATGTTTTTACACTCATGTAAAGAGGCAAAGGATGTACCATGTCTTGTTTATAAAGATTTATATTGAAATCTGGATATTTTCACATTGGCTGCCTTTACAGGGATCGGGGCTGATGTGGTGGATATATCAGGAAAAACGACCACCCCAACCCGAGGCAATTTGCAAGAAGAATTGGTTTACTTTGAGAAGACCCCAGAACAACGCCGCCGTCAAGAGTGAGTTGAAAGTCACTTACAATCATTAGCAATAACCCAGAAAAATACCTAAAACCTAGCTCAAAGTGAACGTTCATGTAGGACTGTCAAATTATTCCGTCTGAAATTGTTGTCACTTGAAAGAAAACTAACATTGAAGGTGGTTTCAAAATAAGGTGCACGCGGGCATTACCAACTGAATCAAGTTGTAAGATCAAAAAAAATGTGCTTAGGCCTACATTTTCTGGGTTTTTTTTCAAAATTTATGCTACCTACTTAGCTGTAACTAAAACCCTAACCCTGCCAGATGCAACACAGTGCATCAGGTGGAAAAGTCTGGTGCACGTTGATGCAATCAGCTATCAAGACCAGTGCATAACAGGCCAGTTCTGAAACAATGACAGTTAATCCTATTGAACAATGCCACAGTTGTATCCTGCTGCATTCGGTGACCACAGTCTCCGAGACTTTTGACCGAATGTATGTTTATTTATTTATTTATTCCATTTCTTTACCCAGGGTATGCCCAAACAGTTGAAAACTGGTTTCCATTGGGGCCCTGCATACAATAAATAATGACTAATTATTGTATAATTATACAATACATTACAAATACAATAAAATTCAATACAGTGTGATAAAACATTATTTGAAAAATGCATAGGTTTTAAGCAAATATTATAAATACAGTATATTTTAAATCTATTATAACTACATGTACAGTGTGAATGCTATACTGTAAGGTTGATTCACTGAACACGACAAATTTTGATCAATCTTGTAACATCAAGAAAAAGAAGAAAAAAATGCTGTAACTATATTCGCTGATTACGGGAGGGGCGAAAACCTTTTTGGGAGAAAACACGGGGAAATTCCCATCTGGCTCCTTATTATCTCTTCTTATTATGGCAACCAAGTTTGTTAACTCCGTAGATCAGCACATATCTAGATTGTATAATCAGAGAAGACAGCGGCAAATACACAAACAATTATTTGCAGAAATATTATTACTGACTGAACATTTTACGTAGTTCAGATTTGGATGAGGCTAGTGAAGTCATGGTTCTCAACTGCACATGTAAATTATTCCATATGATTGTACCAGTTACAGCAAAGCTTGAGGCATAACACCTTTTTTTTTGCAAAAGGAATCCTCAGTGCCATATCAGTGGATTGTCTCGTTCCACGAATCTGAATAAGTGGTGTAAACATATTTGTCATATATACAAAGGAGTAATATGTTTATACATTTGTAAACAAGAATTTACAAATAGCCTTTTTATACTCTTCTCTTTCAGCAAATGACATCCAATTAAGACTAGCAAACATATCGGCTGAAGGAGTTAAGAATGCACACATCAGGATTATTCGCGCGGCTCTTTTCAAACATTTATTAAGAATATTGTCGTGTGATGTGTACAGTACTTTCCTTACCATACAGTTCAACAATAATCTAAAGATGGCAAAACTAAGCTGACAAAAAGAGAGTGCAGACTGCTTTGGGGAACATAGTCGCGGATTCTATTTAGCATACCTAGTTTAGAGGAAACTGTTTTCTTCACGTATTCAACGTGTGGGCCCCAACTTAAAGTGTCATCAATAATAACACCTAGACACTTACAAGAGTTCACCTTTACAACTGGAATACGAGCAATATTGACATTAAGGTCAGTACTGCAGACTTTTATTTTAGTTACAATAAGCATGGATTTGGTTTTGCTGGTGTTTATTGTAAGTCGTAAATTCTCGCTAGGGCTGTATTCAAGTTGTTTCTTACTTCATCAACACTGGTAGAACTACACGTTAATGTGGAGTCGTCGGCATACATGAACAAATTACACTCGCTAGGGATACAAAGCGGTAGGTCACTTGTATAAATAATAAATAACAGTGTACCTAAATTTGATCCCTGTGGTACGCCGGTGTTAAGTGGCAGGGCTTTAGATATGTTGCCCTCAATGTTCACAGATTGACTATGTTCACTTAGATATGACTTAAACCAGTTGATGACAGAGGTTGACATATTAACCCTTTCAAGTTTATCTATAAGAGAGTGGCATGATCAACAGAGTCAAATGCTTTACTTAGATCTATAAAAACAGTGCCTGTTATTTCCCCACGCTCCATAGCCTGAAAACATTTGTTTGTTAAATCATGTAAGGTAATTTCAGTTGAGTGTGAGGGCCTAAACCTTGACTGACAACAAGGAATCAGACCACCTTCATCAAGGTGAGAGTACACTGCTGAGTGTATCCATCTTTCCAGAATCTTAGAGACAATCGGCAGTATTGAGATAGGCCGATAGTTAGTTGTATTACACTTGTCTCCACCCTTGTGAATAGGCGTAACCAGGGCGTGTTTCCACTCATTGGGGTATTGTTCGCATCTTATCGAGAGGTTGAAGATGTGGGTTAATGATTTAGTTATGTACAGAGACGCTATTTTAATCATTTTCACACTTATTCCATCTGGACCTGTTGCTTTTCCGACCAACATTGATGATATTTGCTTTTGAACATAGTCTGCAGTAATCTCAGGCAGTAAGCACTTTTCATCAAGTTAATCTGTATCAAAGGGGTTGATATTGTTGTCCACTTTGAGTTCACATGGAGGGGCATTACTGGCCATACGTGTTCCGATTGTTGAGAAATGTTCGTTAAAAGTATCAGCAATGTCGGTGAGATCGTCAACGAATTCCCCATTCTGGGAAAAAATAGACCTTGGAATACTTTTCTGTTTATTGGGGAGAACCTCTTTTAGTTTTTTTTCCACAGAACGGAAGAGTACTGTTGCCTTTATTTTCCTCGATAGGTGATTGAAAGTGTTCGCTTTTCTTGCTGCGGATTTTATCAGTGGTCATGTTTTCGCAGCGTTTTGTATGCGTTCCAATCATTATGTGAGTCTGAACGTCTAGCTACTTTGTTTGCATGATCTCGCTGTCGCATAAGTTTTAGAATTTCCCCATCGAGCCAAGGCAACGATGCACCACGAATACACTTTGATTTCAATGGTGCATGGTGGTTAATAATACTCATAAACAAAGAGTGCCACATGGACCATGCTTCATTTACATCATAACAATTAAGGACATGTTCCCATGGGGCATTAAGGAGGTCCTCTTACAGTTACAGTTTACAGTTACAGTTTACCCTATCATGTCACTCACGATGCATGCGCAGCTAACGCGATCTTTACGGGTAGTTGGTAGTTGGTATCGGACTGCTTCAGAATGGTATTTTGAAAGCTACTCGGAAGATTATGGGGGACGCCACACGAATGAACTGCGGCCAAACACAAGATGTATAGAACGTACATTCAATTAGATCCCCCGCGCTTACTCATGCAAGCGCGACAGCGTTCGATTTACCTCTCACGTGAGTTCTTGCGCTTACTCGAGCCTGGCCCAAGTAACCGACACGCCAAGCCGGTTACTTGTATGAAGTGAGGAAATGGCGTTTGAAAGTAGTTTTGATAACAAATCGTCAAATATACTGCCAAGGAGAAGTTGCTGTATATAATTAGACAAATAAAGTGCTTGGAGCGGCGTATGAACCTGCGACATCCGGTTTATATTAGCATGCCGGGAAAACTATGGAACATCATAGTAAAGTTTAAAAAAGTGCCCTTTGAAAAAAAATTCATCTATCGGGAGATTCAAGAAACACTTGAAGCAGTAAACAATTAACTCATTATTTGCCAAATTTTTCTTACGCAGCAGTATGCCGTTTGGCATTCACAAATTCAGAACACCCAGGAAATTATGGATAAACCATCTTTTGTTTTGCTTATTTACATACCATTTTTGTCCATTCTTCAAGCATTACTCTATCTTCTAAGGCTCTATTTTCTGAGATCCTCTGTACACATTTTTAATGCTAAATACATGCTACATCCACATATGTAGTTTAGTGTTTCTTTCAGCAATCAACGAACGTTTAGTTTCGTAATCATGGAGTGCCGAGTGTTGTTATTGGTACCATGAAAATACTCTAAAACTAGTCTTCAACTTTTTAACACATTATAAACGTTTTGGTACATTGTATAAACACTGTAATTCATTTAAATACTTCAACTTTGAGTCGGAGTCATTGAGTTTGGCAGCTGCTTGTAACTGAAATTATATTTTGAAATTGAACTTTGATTTAGTTTTTAAGCATTGACAAACTTTCGTTTGCTCCAATAATGGACAATCTCCACATATATTAGCAATTAAAAGATAATTTCAAATACACATTAAATATTTTATTATTTGACTGTAGATATAATCAAATATAATTAAGGCTGAAAATTTCAATCCAAGGATTAACGACCCAAGAAAATATTAGTTGCACGAGTCAGAAGAGCATTTTATTTTTAGTTCAAGCACTGCAAGTCCATTAAAAAAATCAAAAGGTCCATTATTAAAGCATCCGAAAGAGCGAAATGTTTAAGACATCAAAATATTTACAAGGACTCGGACGAAGCTATATATATGCTGTCGATTTATAATGTACCTTAAGATGTTTATTGTTTATTGTTTATTGTTTATTGTTTAGTCCTCAGAATGTTTGACCTTGCAAACCTTCCAGCTACGTTAATTTAAAAAAAATAGTGCTGATAGGTTACATTAATGGTTTTGTAATTTATTTTACGATTTCTATGTTTTTATTTATTTTTAGTCCAATAATTCTTTAGTTCTAAAATTTTTTACATTGGAAACCTTCAAGCTACATTAAGAAAAGGCATCCAAATGGCATATCAGTGCTCATAGATTACATAATTGGTAAATCAACTTCCTAACGTATTCTTTTGAAAGATCTTTGAAATTATCAGTTTTAAATGTAATGTTTTTAGTGGGAAATTATAACATTAATTCGTGCCATTATGTCCTTCACTTCAACGAAATCTCATGTAGATGTATATATACGGATATTTTGTTCCTGTGAATATTCCCGTTCGTGACACCGATTATTAAGGCAAGAGTGCCATGCAATGTTCAAAATCTTCATCACCGTCCAAGAATTCACTTGAATATTCATGTACTAAAGTGATTGTCATCTACGGGCATCGACATTGCAGCCGTGGCTCCGGCACACACCGCAGCTCCACCTAGCGTGTATGCTACTGACTCTGCCATCCCGCTTGTTGTCTTTTTCCCCGGGTCAGTGACGGTTGTCCCAAACAAATTCGAGATGACGGATCCCTTCTCCTTCTTAGGGAGTTTTAAGGACGCCAGTCTTGCCTTCAGTGTCTCCATGTTGCCGATATTGAGGTCTTCAAGGTGTGGCATGATTTTCGGATTTGTCATATTTTGATCGAATTCCCCCTGAATGTTGTCATGTATTTTTTCACTTTTACAAGTGGCTGAGAGATGAAAACATTTAACAGAATGGAAGTATGATAAGCTGTTGCTGAGGAATCCTACAAACGTCTCAGCAGGTGATCCATGCAGCAGATACAGTGTCTTCAATCTTCCCCACGAGAACTCCCCACCCTTCATTTCCGTCTGAACCTCATCAAACCCTTTAATAGTTACTCTGTACAGAGACAGTCTGAGATCCGTCAATTTTCTGCACTGACGTAACAGTAAATTTGTTACCGCCACGAAGGTTCTGTCATCGAATCGCTTATTCAGACGGAGATCCAGCTTTTTCAAGTTTGGGAGTTTGTGAGCACTTTTTGCCAAGTCACAAATAGCGTCTGAACTCAGAATCGTCCCAACCAAAACCAGACGCTTCAGCATTCCCAGACGAGGAAGGTAGCGAGCCAAGTCTCTTGCTGCTCCCGATGAGTAGCACTCCCCCGCCTGTGACTCTAAGAGCTCCTGTAGACCAAAAGACTGCACAATATGGAGGACACTGATGTCTGACTCGTCAGGAGGAAACTTAGGCATGTCTTGGTTGCTGGATTCTATTCTCTTACGCAGTTTTAGTACGGCAAGTTTCTTCTCCTCCATATCAACTATATCACACGATTCAACTGCCACATTTACTGACCACTCTATAAATTCATCTTCATTACGACCATCCTCACTTGGTGAGGTATCCACCCCGGTTTCTGAAAGCGATAAATCTTCAGATTTTTTCCCCCCTTCTTCGGGATCTTGAAGTGGCTCACCGACCGCACTTGGCTGAACTGCACTTAGCTGACGGATTTCAATGTCGGTTGAATGTCTTTTGTCAGTTTGATGTGTTTCCGGTGCATTTCCAAGATGCACTTGAGGTTTGAATGCAGGAGCTTTCTCGTGTTCAACCTTTGCATCTGAAACTGAAGATTGTTGGACTTTTGTTTTTGGTTTATTTTTCATATCGGTTCCTGGGAAGGTTGCGACAGGCTTTTGCTCATTATCGACATGTTGATTGGAAAGTGAAGGTTGTTGGGTGTTGCATTGGGATTGATCGGTTTGTTGGGTTCTGTTCACGAAAGAAATCTCCATGTCGTTTCGTGGATATGTGGCTGTTGTTTGGCCAGGTTCGGATATTGGTTGATTTTCTGAGCCTGCTTCGGGCCGAGGCTCAGTTTTGTTGGATATGACCTTCTGCTGTGCTGCATTATCTTCTACAGATTCTGGTGAATGAGTTACTGGTGATTGATGCTCAGGGAGTTTCTTGATGCCCTCCTGTGATGCTGGGACCGTTCCCTGGTGAATTCCACGTGAAGATGGCCGACTGTCTTCGATTTTTTTTTCCACTTTTTTCTTCTTCTCTTGTCCCTTTTTTTCGGAAATAAAATATTCAATGTATTCTTGAAGCTCAGACCAGTCATATCGACCAATTCGTAACAATTCCACCGACTTCACATCCAACTGGTTCTTATCTTCTGGCTGAGCATGTTCGAGTAGGTATGTCAACAGACGCAGTTTGTAACTCGATATCCCAAGTAAGCGGACCCTCCCATCAGGAAAGATCGATTTCAGCCTCTTGTTCAAGGCGCCCTCCCATTGCCCTTCGAAATTCAGCTGGAGACACAACTCTGCGAACTTCTGCAATTGCAACACAACATGGGGGGGCCTGACCTGACTGTATTCCCTGTTGACGATCTTTGCACAGTAATCAACAATAGCTTCTCTGTCAAATTGATTATCTTGGATGGCGAACTGAAATACATTTGAAAACCTCTGGAGGATCTCCGTGTGGCCAATGTTTGAGATGCCATCGACCCATTTTTTCATTTTTCCTGTAGTCTGAGGCAAGAACACGCCGACGCAAAGCTGTTCAAGAATCTCATAGACAAAACAAACCTTTTCATCCTTAGGGCTCGTCAGGGGAGTGAGTTCTGTATCCGGCCGCAAGTTTTCTCGTTCAGTCCCATTTTGTTGCTTTTGCTTCCGCTTACAACAAAGACACCCTGTCCGTATCTCCACTTCTGATACCTCAGAGGAAACTGTCTCAGTACAATGTTCCGTAGATTTAATTTTGGACCCAACCTGCAACGGACAAAGAAGTCCAAGTTTTATTGCGACTTCTAAGATGTTCTCTCCTTTCGCTGTTAAACTCAAAAAGTCCTCTTTCGGAAAGTCTGCACAATTTGTATCACCGCCAACCAGTCTTTGATATGCTACTCTACCAAGCTCTTCCAGTACGTTCACTTGGTCTTCCGTGAGAAGACTGAGTTGTCTTCCTTCAGTGACACCTACTTCCACACCTTTCACCCTATCGAACATGCACTTGACCAATCTGAAGAACAAATTTGTCATGGTAACGTCAGGTTTGAAAGCATCACCTTTTGTCCAGATTGACATCTGACAGAGAGCTACCAAGACAGCTGGGAGACAAGAAAGATCCGGTTGTAGAATGTCCTGTTCTAGATAGCGATGAAGGTTTCGTTTCTTCTTTCGTGTAGTTGTTTTGGTTTCTTCTATCTTCTCAACATTTTCGTCAGTGGCAGTGCTTTCCTTAGTTTCTTGAAGAGTTGACTGTTCGGTGTCTACCAGATGTTGTTCGATTTGTGTGTCCATAGTGGAAGCTGATTTCGTTTCAGCTTCACTCTTGACCACTTTGTGCTCAGGTGTAGATTCCTCTCTCCCTTGAGCAGCATCCAAAACTACATTGATGTATTCGACAGCATTTTTGAGCGTAAAGCCGGTAATGGTGACATGGCGCATGTTATATTTTCGTGACGTACTTTTTGCCAGCTCTGTGTTCCTAGTCGTCAAAACTAAATGACAGCTGCCAAGAAATTCATTGTCTGTCATTACTTTTATGACAGCGTCGATGTCGTCCTTGTCATTACAGTCATCAACCAAAACTGTCAGGTTGCTTTTGTCTCGTGCGAAGTGTGCATAAATCGATTCGGCCGAAATGTTTGCGTCTTTCAGAAGCATGCATTCAATGACTGCTTCACCGATGGTTTTAGCTTTAATAAGCAACCAAGCTGGGACAAGAACAACTATCTGATCACTACCCCATAGTGCACGTTCCTTTCCCTTGGCCCAGTCGTGTATCAGTCTGTACAAAAGCGTAGTCTTACCACAACCCCGTCTGCCTTGTATTATAGCATGCTTACTGGCCAATTCTGGAATACCATCATCAAAGATACTAGACTCTGAGTCTAATTGATATTGTACAGTGTTACCTCTGTGGGAGACATTGGCGAACATCTCTAAGGGTCTGTAGACTGTATCTATTGGTGCAAAGCAAACATCGTCCCGGGCAACCCATGGAGTAATAGGTATTCTACCCATTTTGCTGATCACAAACTGTTTGATTTTCTTGGCAAGCCTCTTAAAATGTTTAGCTGGCTCTGTAATAAAATGCAAAAATATTTCAAATCAATACATATTGGTCTGCAGGTAAAATTGAACTTGAACTATAACCATGCAGTATTGTAAATCAATACACTGTACCTCTCTTATATTTCATCATGAAGTTAGATTTAAAATTAAAAGGTAAAAAGTCTTCACTTCACTTTTTAAACAAAATTGAAGCAATGCGTGCCAAACGCTTATGTTCTCAGGTTTGATTGTACCAAACCTGGAGGGTGTACTCCACATTCTACGGTCTCCTTGATGAGCTAACTATAAAATATAAGAACAATTCCCATAGGAATATTTTGGCAAGGATGCTAATGAAAAGTTGCACATTTTTCCATGTTTCCAACTCTCTAAATAATCCCAATAAACAAATTAACAACATTTTGTTTCATTTTGCTACCTTTTTTATGCCGTTTGTAGTCACCTCTTTCATTGTCTTTTCTGTTATGCGAATATCGTCGACGCCGCTTCCGCACCAGGAAAAGAACAATTCCAAGAAGAACGACGACGAATAAAGGCACGCAAACAATGATGGCGACGACATTGGGCGATTCGGGATCACCGTTTGAATCTAATGCAGGCAGAGAATTTAATGACAATAAACTTTATAACTTTAAACGATGTCTTGAAATTAAATGAAGACATTCCTTGTTCCTTTTTCAAGATGTGTTTGTACTGAACGATGGTCTACGATAGGAGTTAATGGCGTCTTTGCATTCTCATATCTGTTGCCGTGGTTTGTCATTTCATTTTTCATCAAATTTCTTTTTTAAGTAGACGATTTCCACCAAGCCTATCTAAACCTTGCGCAGAGTGACCTGCTGCCCTTTGGGCCCCAGGTAACCGAATTTTTAGAAAAAACAAATTGAGGGCCAATGACGGTCATCACCTTCCATCTATTCCTCATTCGACCCTTGCCAAATAAGCTGGTTCAATGAACTTTGCAGCCAGGGCTACACCCAGGCCGTGTCAACAAACTTTTGACCAGGCCTCCTGCCTCATTGAAACATCAACAAAGACCTGTAACTTGACACAGCCATCTCCCTTCATAACTGCATACAACTGCATACCACAGCCGCCAGTCAATTATCTTTCCAGCGCACTGTCTGGCAACTGTCTGGACACTGTCTGGCACGTGGCTTTTTGTTGTATTGCTATGAATAGGGTCTTGCGTAGTGCGGGAAAGTACCTGCTGCCCAAAGGGCAGCAGTTGACGAGTTGTTGTAAAGTTTTTTTGTAAACGCTGCGCAGGGGTGTTGTCATTACATTTCGTTAAAAAAAAATAAAAAATAAAATAAACATATTTTTGATAGATACGTCTACGTATGGTGATCATGATGAGTATTCCGGGACCCTTGTATTAGTTAGGTCTTCCTATTTACTTTTAATTAGAATCTTTTTTTTTTCGGTTTTTTTCAGGTTTTTTTTTTTTGGTTGTATTCGGTGTGCCTCAGAGTGATTCCAGCTATTGAGGTAAAAAGGCTTTTAAAATATTTTAAATGACATTTTTGTGTAAGTCTGCAAGTATACGGATTGATTAAATTCGTGTCAGACTGTTCAAAGCGTTTTCCTCGGCAACAGGCTTGGGTGTCAGTTCGAGAAAACGAAAATTGTTCGATTACGCTGCAGTGCCTGGACGAAAAACCGACTGCGGACTCTACTGGACGGCCTATAGGCATGCGCAATGCTACCAAGGAGACCGTATTTCATAGCGTCCTAAATTCACGCTACACCGGCAACTGAAAAAAACATAGTTCCAAGATGTAACGTCATCGATGACATAAACTTACTCTCTATTAACACATCCGCATATGATCTGATCAGATCGTCGTTAGATGGGACGTCATAGAAGGCACAAACTTACCCCCTATCAAAACATCCACGTATGACCGGATCAGATCGTCATTCGCTGGGAAGACAACACACCAGTACCTTACGTCACCATCTTGGGAACAGTTGTTAAGGAGCAGAGCGCCTTCCATTGATATGCCGAGGCAGTTCTTTCCCAGATCAGCCATCTTTATGGGACCATCTGGTAGATTCAGTGTGCCAATCACAGTGGTAGACTCTTCATCAGTGGCCCCAAAGGACCAGAACAAAGTGGCTTTGCGTGTCAATGAGATGTCTACAGAGAGCGCCGGACATTGAAGAGAAAATCTAGTTTTAGGATTAAAGGTCACACTGTCACCTTCTGTAGCGGTGCCGTCGTCCAATGGAAAGCGATCCCCTGCAATGAGAGGAAATAATCATGAAAGTTCAAACAAAGGAAAAATTGTGACACATTTATGACAGTGATACAATTTTAATCATCGAATTAAAATCTGAAGTTTATCTGGTTTCCATTTCCCATGTAAAATCAGAACTTTTCTTACGAGGAGTACAACTGCAATCACCGAATTCAATTTTGAAGTTTCAGTTATAGATAAAATCTAAATTTTTCAACCCACCTATCACTCGTACTTCAACATCTATCTGGTTTTCATCTCCCACAGCACATCGATACACTCCAGCATGGTCATCATCAACTGACTGAATCACCAAACCAAAGTCAGTTACGAGATCGAATTCAGGACTAGCATCGACGACACCAGTCGACAGGTTGTAACTGAGGACTTGTCGATCTGGGTTGTCGAGCTTACTCCACTCCACCTCACAAGCTGTGTCGCCAGGTGTCCAGCTCAGGCAAGGGAGTATCTGCTGCATGTCTTTTTGCAGGTAGAAAGATCTTTCTGAGGCCTTCAGTGCATCACTAGCTGATTCCAGCTCATCTAATTCGAAGAAAGAATATAATGTAAAACAACTGTTTAAAAACGGACAAAGGAAGAATTTAAAATCGGTAATGAAATTTAGTTCAGAAAAAGTTTTCTAATTGTTTTGTTTCCTTTCTTTCTTTTTTCTTAATTTGAGTGGCAATATTAACTTCGTCATCGAAAAAAGCACTACGTCCGAGTTCCCGTCGATTAACATACCTTTGACATTACCTGATATCTTGGCATTTGTGTCGCAATTTCTGAGGGTGCCATCTAACTGGAACACGTGACACCAGAATTTCTGTGTATCTTGTATGTCATTCAGGGAGTTGACTGCTAGTGAAGCGTCGCTACCAATGCTGTAATCGGCGCCATGTTGGACCTGCAGGGTAGTGCCATCAGAGAAACGTGCACCAATGATCTGTGTATCTGTAGTGACGCCCTCTCCCGTTGACCAATACACTACGTCTGGTGTCTGTGACGCGCACTCACACTGTAGCGTCTGTCTGCGCCCTCGCTGGAAACTAGCTGTGGAAGATGCCTGACTACTGCCTCCTGGAAAGGTTTCGTCTGTGTTATTGGAATCAAAAATAAAATATTGTTTGATTCAATCCTCGATGGTATAGGCCTACCTGGGGGAAACTCTATTTGAGGTATGAATGGAACATGTCCCCTGTAGGGCTTATGGATGTATTTTTGTTTATTAATTGTATCAATTCAATAAGAAGGGATTCAAGGGAAAATGTATTTGCAGGATCTAATAGGATATCTTTTGTTTGTTTGCTTCCAAACTTTTCATATGGATTACATGTCTGTATATAGGGCCTATTTATCCAATGTCATAATCCTTACCTAGAACTTGGATGTCGACTACCCCAGTTCTGTCTGTAGTGTCACGTGGTATGACTTGACACAGGTACCTTCCTTCATCACTCTCCTTGATACCTTTGATGACGAGGCTGAAACCGGACGTCCCGAAAGCGTAGCTGTCGCTCTCTGGGTAGTCTGTGTTATCTATGTAGCTGATCAGGCGGGATGTTGTCGTGGGACTATCCTGCTTGAACCAGACGACCCGATCAATGGGCTCGCCAGAACGAAATGGTGGGCAAGGAATTTGGTGCCATAAACCTTGTTGAATGTAGTTCACTGCACCAAAAGGACTGCGAATATTGTTCACTGAAAAATAAAGCAAACGTCGTATTTTTGACACAGCGCCACCTCATAAAGCACCGTTAAAATATGTTGGTTTAGAGCATGAGGGAATATATTTTGAAATCAGTTTTAAAATATATTGCCATAAAACGTTTCACATGTATAATTATGTACACGTGTAGCCTAGAAAATATGAGCATCCTCAACGTTTTGAAAAGCAAACAATGTTTGAATGAAATGAAGGTATAGTATAAAAAAAATCTTAATACTTTTCTTGTAGCAAATAAAAATTCAAACCCGAAATTGCTGGGCATATGTTGTCTGCTGCCACACTAAATCCCAAGGATGTTAACAGAATACATGTAAGTGCCGTGTAAATCGCCGCCATGATGTCAACTTTGCATCCAGAGGTCATGCGGCTCACTATGTAGAGAAACAAAGATAATACATATCTTTAAGGAAGTCCAAACCAAAGTTAACTGCTTTATGGTAATTCTGAGTGAGGGATGAACTTGTGAAAGTGTATAGGCTGATCCATCCTGTCCAAGTGTGGTCGCGAAGTTACATGAAGGGGGAGAAATGGTCAAATTGTGATTAATTTTCGGGGTAGCCCTGCAGAATGTGTTCCCCGCTCGGGTTTTCGAGATTCATCGAAGCTGCTGGTTCCCCCTCCCCCCCCCCCTGCAAATGTTCCGACGGTAAATCAATATTTACATGGTGTGGAAAGTCCCCGAGACATTCCTAAATAATCTTGATTCATTGATTTGGGTCAGGTCTCTGTATGACTGTTGCACAACGCCTGGGGTCAATATTGGGCTTAAGGCAAAAACATTGGGCCAATCTTGAAAGCCAGTATTGGATAGAACTTCGGCCCATTAAATTGGCTCCAAGTAGGTTTTGCTCAATGGCGAAACATTGGTCCTATAAATGTTCAACCAATATTAACTCCATATAGGCTATTAGTCCACGTACGTTTTGCATATTGAAACAAAATTGCAATATTGGCCCTCGCCGATGTTTAACCAATGTTTTGACGAAACTGCCATTGTTGCCGATATGGCCTATGGGACCAATAACAACTAGAAATGTGTTTGTGGACAAACACTGAGCTGTTTCTACCGTTTTATTAATGACTGCCGTAAAGGAGTTTCATCCAGGTCGAATGAACATGTACATGCATATTCTATACAAAAAGTGTCCATCCTATGTAAAAAGAAAAAAAAAATACATTTTTCATTACGTCATGATGACGGCACACATTTTTTGAAATTTTCTGTATCTATCTACGACCTAACAAACCTTTTGCAAAAAAGAATTTCGAATTAACCACGTTCCATTGATGAGATATGAGTAAAAGGTCCAAAAATTGAATAATTCATATAAAATCACATGATGACGTCATCGTAACGTCACTGCAATTTGTGTCTATAACACTTCCTGGAATATCTGCATACCGACATTGAACCCAATCGGACATCAGGTACTCGCAGGTCGATCGGACCGTATTTTATATAATGTTTGCAAAATGTGAAGAAAATATTAAAATTTGAAAAATTCATAAAAAATCAGACGATGACGTCATGATGACGTCACTTCAGATTTTGAATGCTTTTATCTATACCTACCTACCCACCAAGTTTCATAACGATCGGACATACCCTAATATGATGTCATGATAACGTCACACATTTTATGAAATTTTGTGCATCTATCTTTCACCTGACAAACATGTTACAAACAGAATTTTGAATTTACCATGTTCCATTGATGAGATTTGTGTAAAAGGTCCAAAAATTGTATAATTTATATAAAATCACATGATGACGTCATCGTGACGTCACTGCAATTTTTGTCTATAACACTTCCTGGAATACTTGCATACCAAGTTTGAACCCAATTGGACCTCCGGTTCTGTAGATATAGGGCCTTAAAGTATGCACTTTTAGGATGACGTCATGTGACGCGTGATGACGTCATGATGACGTCATGATTCGGCATTCATCTTCAGATGGTGGTCTAAGTGTGTGCCAGGTTTGAAGTCGATCGGATTTGAAAAAAAGTCCAAAAGTGCCTTGTAGAACGAAAACACGTGTTATCCTATGGGAAAAAAAGTGGAAGAGAAAAAGAGAAAAAAACAAAACAAAAACAAGAGCTGTTTCGGTGTGTACACCGAAACAGCTAAAAATACTTCCAAAATGGCTGCCTTACACAGAATACTGCGCAATAGTCGTAGCCTTGTTGCCATTTTGTGATTGGACGATGAACGGCGTTCATTTTGATGGTGTCTTCATATGTCCAGTGCAAGTAGCTGCAAGCGCGGTTGCAATGCAAGTAGCGCTGCCTACGCACCCGGGATCCGCACTCAGTATACAATACTTTCAGAATCATTTTAGTGACGGTCTGTTTTAATGAACATCAAAAAGGAAATAGATTTCAAATTTTCCAAATGATCTATAATTACATCTTGAGATCGTTTAGACACACCCCCATCAATGCATGAAAGTGAATACGGAATTGGAGTGCTACTGTTAACTAATTAGTTCTTCCGGTCGCATCATCCTTTTTAGATATTAGGGAGGTATTTTTTTTAATTTTTTTTTTAACTATTTTAAAATTAAAATAATGATTGCAGAGAAAAGCAGGGATCAATTTAATACGCATAATATGTACATAAAATTAATAAATTTACATTCGTAAAATAATTTATTTAAAGAAAGTAGATGAATAACATAAGTTTGTTTTAGAGAAGTAGTTCTTCCCATTGAGGAATAATTCTTCCATTCCCAAAGTTTATGCACAAAATTATTGTCCAACGAATCATTGCAGATAGCTTGCAATGTTCATTTAAATATTTTGTGAAATGATTTTTCTTTTCCCCCTTTCTGTATCATTAATTGAACGAAATGTGTCACACTCACAGAAAAACCTGCAGAATCTGGTCTTGTACGATGAACATGTACATGCGGCGCCCGTACGTGCACATGGTACCGTACGTCGTACATGCGTACATGTATAGTCGGACTCCCTATTATCGCGGGATCCCTATTATCGCGGCATGGTACATTTCTCTTTTTGCGTTGCCAAAATTCCTTCAGGTGGCAATTTTTTTTCCAGTTCACCAGTCATTAAGGACTTTTCGCCAAGTTGTATAAAAAGAACGATTAAAAAATGTTGTGTCTTTCGGGACTTCTAACGATTTTTAATAAATAGGCCTAATAGCGTTCTCCAAAACTTGCAAATTTTCCCTCACCGTGTCTGCTAAAAGGTACCGTCTATATTTTAACATAATTCTTTAATGGTGCTCTGTCCATGAAAGTTCCATTGCCTGGTTCCCATTCTTCAGCTGCAAATGTAAAATGACGTCGAAAGACGATATTTGCACCGCGAAATCGTAAAAACTGTTGTACGGGATCAAAATAAGCACAGCGCGTTAACAAAAATAAAACGACACACCGTGTAAAGTGAATGGCGCCCCCAATCGCCAATCAGTAGACTTGCCTCAGTGAGTTGCGTTCTCCTTTGGGGGGAAGGGCAGGGTCTTAGAAATCATCCTGCAGATATAATAGTCTTTAATCAACTTGAACTTACAGGGAAAATATCAAACTTTATTCAGGGGATGTTTTGGTCAAACATTAACTAAGAATAACAAAGTTGAGATCATTATAAAAACCACTTCCCGCATACCGGGATCGATAATAGGGAGTCCACCTCCGTTCGCACACGCCGAGCATGTCTATTTTCACAGGCATCATACACAGAATAAACCACACCACCGTCGGAATTTTTATATCAATTTGAAAAGGAAGAGTTATACTACACAAAAGACAGGACAATTCGAGAAGGTTAGTGGGGAATCTCTATTCCGAACGAGAAACGTGATAAGTACCGCGATAATATGGCAACCCATCCTACTTCAACATCGTTAATTGTCCAATCACAAAATGGCAACAAGGCTACGACTATTGCGCAGTCACAGAATCAACTCACCATAATTTGCATGCACGACCATCGCAAAACCTCGACCATCGAATCCTAAAAACAAGGTCAAGGGTCGCGATTGATACTATCCCAGAACCGGTGGCTATGCCCCATGTTGCACCGAATCTTGTTATCCGCCAGATTTCGAAATCCGAGCACCGAAACTTGGAATTCCAAGGTTCGTTATCGGATCTTGAGATTCGGTGTTACGACGCCATGATACGTATCAAACGGATGCTTTTAACGGCAAAGTGGGGGCGGTATATATGGAACGCCAAACGTACCAATTTATGATGTTACTAGTTCTTCGCCTCGGGAACTAGTTTGTCAACTTCCAATATCGAGGGGAGCTAATATCAGTTGTCCACCCGAAATAAACCATGTTATATTTGTTTTACTATACCTCATACATATTCAGCGCCCATTTGGTTTTTTGTTGTTGTTGTTGTTGCAGTGTGCACCTCAAAAAAGTTTTCTTGAAAAACTTGTCCAGTTCACTAAAGAATCATATTGCTCAAATTCACTAATTCAGTTCGTTTACAATACAGTGCAGCTGTAAAAACAGTAGTTTGTGTATAACATTCTTTTGTACAGGATGCATCTCTTTTGTCCATAAATATTCTCTAGTTCGGCATCAGTGAGCTCGGGAAAATGACGCGCCATGCAACCATCTCTTCGTACGTGTGTAGCTCGTCGTTTGGGCGATGTTCGCGCGTGCGTACTACACCCGTGCGACAGTTCCACGATTGCTTTGTAAAGCGCATGCGTAGTAGACTGTCGCACGGGTAACCCGTTGTCACGGTCTCACTTCTCCGGCGTGCTAGCTTCTTCAGGTGGATTCGGTGGATAATTGAGCACGTCACAGTGCACGTTACACGAGCACGATTCATGCTCATGTGTCCGCTGTGCTAATTACTTTTCCTCGGGCTGTATTCTGAAGTCTACAAAGCCCATACACAGTAAGGTGCTCCCATAGAGCTATGGGTACTCCCAAGAATGTGTTATGTAACACTTCCTGTGGGTCAAGTCATTCCATGGTCTTGCATTTGTTGCAAGCGTTCTGATTTATGTTCCCATGTTCATGGAGTTATAGTTAAGCACGAACTTCTTGATCTGTGTTCCTTGCTCGTTCATGGTCCATTTTGTCCGCTTTATTTTTGGTTATTGGGAGTTAATAGTGCGCGCCACGAAAATTTTGGATTGGACTGGTACCCTGTAACCATGCATACAAATATCCTAAGATCTTACGTGCACCAGTACAACCCCAAATAACTCAGCACACTAAATACAGTTGACGAAAATGTACGCTACTGCGCAATTTTGTGCATGCGAGTTGAAGAGAAATTTCCCTGTCGGAGAAGCTAGCACGCCGGAGAAGTGAGACCGTGACACCGTGCGACAGTCTACTACGCATGCGTAGTTACCCGGTGCGGGAATCCTCGCGCGCGCGCTTGGTTAACAGCAAAAATAACATCTGGCACGTGATGGTGAATTGACCAGTGAGAGTTCGGCTCTCGATCATGAATATGTATGAGGTATAGTAATGCCATCTGTTTCTTGTCATATTATTGGCCTTGAGCGCGCGCTATGATCATGACTACAGTATTCTTAGGTTGTGTTTCGGCATGTGGTTAGTTATGGAATTGTTTCGGGTGCGGATCAGGGTGAACGTAAGGTCATTATTATTATTATTATTACTATTTTTATTATTATTCGACCCAAAACGACATTATAAGTTTACACATAACATGAAGGGAAAACACAAGAGCATAAACACTCGAATGAATTATACAATTAAAATTATATGTTTGAATTATACAAACAAAATAAAACAAATAATGTGAAGGCCGACCAATCTGCATTGCATTCGTATTTGTTTATTTCTGATCTTTAGGGTAGCCCGTGATGTGGTCCCTGGGCATATACAACTAGACTACAAAGACTATAAAAAATAAAACAACTATTTTCCCTCAGGCCTCGACTTCGACTCGAAAAAAAAAGAATTTCAATGGGTCACCTCGGAGGCTATACCACTCGAAGCATTCAACCTTTGTATAATATTTCATAGTTGTTAATACCTAAACGAAACACTAAAATATGCAAATGATAAAGACAGTGTAACATGCAAACAACAACAATTGATTCTTAATTGTATCATTTCATTATTTTTTTCATAATCTTGGCCTTTGAAACGGTTATGACCTGCGGCAAAACAGGGACAATGTGTTCTTGTATGCTTAAAAACGTACTGTCCACGGGTATAAATAATTATAATTATTTCCATAGTTATTCATTTTGTATTGCCAATTTGTTTTTTGGGACGAAACTCGGAATCAGCTTGGCAAGAAGTGCATCTTTAACTCCAAATACCGAGCAATTCAGCAATGGTACTAAGTTACTAACATAAATGCATTCAAATTTTAAACCACAAAACAAAAAAACACAACATGACTCTACTAATACTTGACTTTCGTGGTGTGAGCACCATTTGGGTTGAACTTGCCATCACTGTGATGAAGCAATTTATTCATCAAAGACATTATGTTCAGGAGTCATTGCATGTATTTATCGGTAATTTAAAAAAATATTTATCACTAAAATAACAGAGAGTTACAATAACATTGGAAGCTTCACATCATCAAGAACCCTTTATTTTAGTTCATTATAATTACACCACCCGTCCTCTGCTCAGGACGTCACAGCCGTGTCCTGCAAGGCCTATGCATCTGTATGCGATCTTTTGGCTCAAGAAATATACAACAACATTTATAGATTACAAGTTTAGGTGAGACGAAATGTGGTTTCAATCACATCATATTAATAATTTTCCTAAAGTGCTCATCCATTCAATTTGAAAGATAGTAAGGGGACTATTAACTCCCTGTGAAATTATTCTTTCTGGCAAGCTCTCATTTTGAATAAATCAACGAAAAAAGGCATTTCCAACGGTGCGTCTTAAAGCCATAGTCCATCATTTGCAGCCATCCGAAAAGTAACTGGCGTAATTATTGTTGAAAAACAAACTTGGTTGAAAGATAGTAAGGGAACTAAACTCCCTGTGAAATTATTCCTTCTGGGAAGCTGTCATTTTGAAGTAATCAACGAAAGAAGGCATTTCCAACGGTGATTCTTAAGAAGCACCGTAGGAAAATTTAAATAAGTAGTTCGTTTTGTTATTCAGCGCAGCGCGCACAAGTATTGGAACAACGCACACGCGCGCGCGGTTGTTATAATTCGTCGGATCAGTGCGCTACGTCGCGTATAGCTGCAATTCAAAACAATTCAAAACATGATTCAGTAACTTTTGATTTGAAATTGAGATCTTAGAATGCTGTTTTTCTCGGAATGTACAGCTGAAGCTTAGCTGAAACTTCATCAGGTTAGTTGTTCAGTATCCTTCATTAGATTTTGAACCCTTTTGTTGCTTCAAACGAACAAAATGCACAAACTACAAATGATGGACTATAGCTTTAAGAAGCACCGTAGGAAAATTTAAATTAGTAGTTCGTTGTGTTATTCGGCGCAGTGCGCGCAAGCATTTGAACGACGCACAGGCGCGCGCGGTTGCTATAATTCGTCGGATCAGTGCGCGACATCGCGTAAAGCTGCAATTCAAAACAATTCACAGCTGAAGCTGAGCTGAAACTCCACCGGGTTAATTAGTTGTTCAGTATCCTTCATTAGATTTTGAACACTTTTGTTGCTTCAAACGAACAAAATGCACAAATTACAAATGATGGACTAAAATATATTCAACTAGAGGTTCGCGTTTGTTGTTACAAACGCAGAGTGGTCGGGTAGACAACTATTTCATTAGATATTGTCCAGTTAAGTTATGAATATGTTTTTGGCACAAAAAAAGACTTTAACATTTCCAGTACCAATTATTTTGTACAAAAGGAATACGTCTTTAAGGGTATGTTAAATTTCAGTAAACATTTAGGTACACGTACAAGTCATTTCCTGTTTGAAGACGTAATCAGTCAAAAAAAGAAGGGAGGACACTTGTTTATCAATAAGTAGAAATAACGGATTGGAATATGGAAATTAAGTGTATGTTATAATAAAACCTTACTTCCGGTTTGATGACTTCACAGTATTTGGAAGCAAAAGGTCAATATTAAGTGTAACAGATGTCATTTTGTTCGGCAAAAGACAAAGTCATGAGACAGGGATCATGTGATGGATTTAAATTAAAAATAAAATGATCATTGTTGAATTCTCCCTACGGTAACTTTTGTCTTTGATGTCATGGTTATGAAACCTTGTAAATTAATTTGTGGTTGCTCACTGGATATATTGGGGCAATTTTATTAAAATTGGATTGAGGGTTTTAACATTTTGAAAATTTAAACAGTTTTGATGTGCCGCTAGAGGGCGCCCTTTTGTGCGATGATGTCAAAATTACGTTTTTGCGATTGGCATTCCTCACTTAACACTTCTATAATGTATTTGTCTGTAGTAAAATTCTTCCGTTTTAGAGTAAGATTCAATTTCTTATTGCACTTCCGGTAACACCGGAAGTAAAGGTCAAGCAGTTGTGCCCGGGAATAAGAAATGTTGCTCAAGGCACTGTCTACAACCTCACGAAAAAATGAACACGATACTCTGTTTAGTTCAAGAGATATAGGTCAAACTCTTTTGTCAAATCGTGCCGTCAAATCGCTTGTAATTTGATATCTGATGATGTCATGATGACGTAACAACATTTATAACATCTTTTTAACATGGTACAAGTTCACACTAGGTTTTATGATCATACCGTATTCCGTTCTGAAGAAATTGTGCTTTGTTTTGATTTCAGGCTAATTTCTTCATTTTGAATTCACTTAATTTTAACCTTCCGGTAGAACCGGAAGTAAAGGTCAAGCGAATTCACGTACACGACATATTTTTTTAATCAATTAATGGTCTATCTGATTACAAGGTTGGAACATAATTGATCAATTTGTTCAAGAGTTATAGGTGTAAGAAGATCGTCATTTTTTTAACGAAAATTGCTTGTAATTTGAGACCGGATGACGTCCTGATGACGTCAGAGTAATATGCACCACTTAGGATGAAGGTCGATATATATTGAAAGTTACGAGTTCCTATCATAAACCGTTTAGGAGAAAACCCTCGGAAACGTGCTGTACGAAAAAAGAAAGAAAGAAAGAACTAGAGGTTCGCGTTTGTTGTTACAAACGCAGAGTGGTCGGGCAGGCAATTTGTTCATTAAATACTGC